ATGTTAAAAGGTGATTAGATTTCTTTCAACGATGCTCCAAAACTGCCATGCGTTGCCTAGCAGTGCAAATGGCCCAGATATCCTGACTCCTATTAAGCAGGAATTCTGGAACTGCCACTTTTATCCAAGCCAAATAGAACATGTTCCCAGCTCTCACCGTTACAGTTAATATTTCAAAGCAAAGTGGCCCATTATGCTAAAGATAGCTTGAGAACGAGAGGACAGAAAAGGGCTTCCTGGAGCCAAGGAGATGCTTTCCTACTCCCTAACATACCTCACCCCAGTCTCTGTACCCTTAGATCAGGCATAGGCAAACTCGGCCCTCCAGATGTTTTGGGACTACAACTCCCATCATCCCTAGCTAACAGGAACAGTGGTCAGGGATGATGGGAGTTGTAGTACCAAAGCATCTGGAGGGCTGAGTTTGCCTATGCCTACCTTAGATACTAGCCACCAAAATCCTCTGAACGACTTTTCTCCTCACCTTGTAATCATTACACTATTTTGTCATTTTGACAGAATAAGCTTTGATTCATTCAATAAGCTAGTCTACAGTTTAAAAAAAGTCTACTTGTAAGCAACATCACCTACTTCTCTTTGTTAAGACATAAAAGCCCCCCTTTTCTGTAATAATGTAAGGTTATTGCCTCCACATAAGAGCCAATAGCCAAAGAAAAATGAATTTTTAAAACATCCTTTATTACTTAAATAAATTTATTTCGTGTTTAAGCAATTCTGATTTGGTCCTTTGCCCTCCTGGCTAAACCAATATAGCGTGAACGCAAGATGTTGCAACCTTTCTGCTCTTTCCCCCATTCCCAGAATCCTGCCCTTCCATCAACCAGAACTCTGTATACTCTGCACTAAGAGAAACTAGAAAATTAATTGAAATCTAACCAATTAGCAGAGCTTTGCAAGATTTATTCTGCTTCTGCTGGACTTATGAACGGCTAAGGAGTTACACAATGCAGTGAAGCTCCCTCCCAGGCTATTTCTTAAGTGCTGGAGATCCTGTTCAGCAAAACCCCCCTTTTCAATTCTTAAGATTTCACATTCTCAAGCAGTGCCAGTTTCTGTTTCAGCAATTTCTGCACAATCCTAGGAAATACATATAAACCATCCCTTCTGTCTGTTACTTCTTCCAAGTTGAGGTATTATCTTTATGCAACTGATGTTCTGCTACTCTTCCCATCCACAGGAGCTTCAATTAGAGGAATTATCTCAGCCTCTTACAGTCCCAGCTTCCTAGAAATTTGTCCCTAGTGCCAAGTTTTTTGGTCAGATTCCATTTTTCCACATTATTCTTCAATTTTCTTGCAGAACTACTTAAGTATTCCTTCATCAGCTCTGTAGTCTCTGGAGCTTTAAGCAATCTTGCCAAAAGAATGCTAGGTGTCCGTCTGCCATGTTTAGTGATCTGTAAGAGACTCTTCCCCCTCCCACTTTTCTGTTGACTCAGGAGGTCCCAGATTTGAACATCGCCATGTCCAGTTAAAGCTATGGTTTTCCCAGTAGTGATGTATGGAAGTGAGAGCTGGACCATAAGGAAGGCTGACTGCCGAAGAATTGATGCTTTTGAATTATGGTGCTGGAGGAGACTCTTGAGAGTCCCATGGACTGCAAGAAGATCCAACCTATCCTTTCTGAATGAAATCAGCCTGAGTGCTCACTGGAAGGACAGATCCTGAAGTTGAGGCTCCAAGACTTTGGCCACCTCATGAGAAGAGAAGACTCCCTGGAGAAGACACTGATGTTGGGAAAGATGGAGGCCACAAGGAGAAGGGGACGATAGAGGACGAGATGGTTGGACAGTGTTCTCGAAGCTACGAACATGAGTCTGACCGAACTGCGGGAGGCAGTGGAAGACAGGAGTGCCTGGCATGCTCTGGTCCATGGGGTCACGAAGAGTCGTACACTACTAAACAACAAATGTCCAGTTAAACCAAGGGTAGGCAATGTGGTACCCTACGGATGTTGGACTGCAGCTCCCGTAATTCCTGAATAGGGATATGAGATGTAGCCGAAAACATCTGAAGGCACCTTGCTGGCTTCCCCTGGGTCAAAACACCTCAGAGAGGGTGGCTGCGAATGACCTCTGCCTGCAACTGACTTGCTGAACAGCAGCTCCTTATAACCCCAAAATTACATTCCCCCCTGCTCCTGGCATAACTTCCTCAGTGCAAGTTCTATTAGTTAAACCAGGGGTCGGCAACCTAAGACCCATGGGCCACAAGCGGCCCATGGGGATCGTTTAAGCAGCCCATGGACCCTCGCCACCAGTTCGGTCAGCTCCCGTGTGCCATGCTAAACAGGTGCAGAGCAGAGCAGGGACCACCTTCCGTGACGCTGGCCGGCTTCCCAAGCTGCACATGCCTCCTCCCCGCTGGAAATAGCATTTGAGCATGCTTGTGCGTGTTCACTCCGGCCCACCGCGGAGTCTATGGGACCGTGAACCGGCCCAAGCCACAAAAACTTTGCCAACCCCTGAGTTAAACTATTGTAGCAAATAAAACGATGAGCTCTGCGGCAGATCAAGGAAGACCCATTGGAATTGACGGACATGGGCAACTTGGGTCCAGTAATTTGAAAGGGTCTTCTCTGAGTAAGACTATGTTGGAGACATCTCCTAGTTACAATGAGATATTGTTCCACAGATGTTGGCAAGAGCCAACTTGGTCGGCTGCATTTGCAGGATCTGTGCACCCAAATGTGGCTGCTCCTTAGTGGCAAGAAGTAAAGGGCAAAGACATCAAAGAAGCCGAAGTAGCTAAGCAAATTGTTGCTCCCAAAATGCTCCCTTTCAAGTTAGCCGATGGTGGCGGCAGCCCTTCTAGTCCTTTGTGGATTCCCTTTTTCCAGGAGCTGCACCAAAACAACCATTTCTAGGTCAGAGATCAGAGGGGCTTATATGCTCTGCCATCTGGAGCAGGGAAGGCAAATGGCGATCCCAACATCTCCATTCCCAGCCCCTGAGTCTCAAACGCAAACCAAACCCTCTCATTATCCAAGCAAAGAGAAAAAGCTAAGGTTTGTACTGAAGGCCTACCACTGATATCTGGTCTACTCAGCAAGATCTAGTAGATAACACAAGCAGCTGGTGCTCTCCACCCTGGCCAAGGGAACAGCAACCCTGATTATCAAAGCATTGTTCACCCATCTGAATATTGTAATATTGTACTGCCAGAGGCATAAGCAATTAAAGGCATCCCTTACTGAAAACGTCACCTAGAGCACCACTGGCATTCACGAAGCAGGAAAAGCCTATTAAGTGTGTTCCAAAGCGTTGTTGGGCCTGCATGTTCTCAACGTGCATGCGTCGTTTTTGTATATTTCAGATTGTCTACTCCAACTCCGCCCCCCCCCGCAAGACGTAACGGTATTGTGAGAGGATAAGAATCATAGAATCGTAGAGTTGGAAGACACCCCAAGTCATCTAGTCCAATCCCTTCCAATGCAGGAATTAGTGGTCAATTGAAGAAATAGTGGCCAAATGAAGTGGGGGGTCCATTTGGCTGCTTCCTACCCTGAAGTTGTATGATTAAGAGAAAAAGACTGGATATTATAAGGGGATGCTTTTTGCTGCACGCATTCTAACCATGCCCATGGAGGACCAGAATATTATTTTCCAATTAATTTCTCATATAATTAACATTAATATATAGTATTACATAAACGGCTTACGGATCATGCATATTAAGGAACATAAAATATTGTCAATAAATGGTGAAATTGTCAAGATCTTGCACCTGTTTTCAGTCTATTCCAAACACCATGCATAAACATGCAGCAAATAATACCAATCTAGATACAAAAGCAAAGGACAAGAGCAGGCACAAACATTTATGCCCCACTTTTTCAAAAAAAATTAAATGATTTTTGAAGCTTAACTATCTGGCAGATCTGCACCATGTATTTAAAGCACATGACTTCCCCCAAGGAATCCTGAGAACTGCAGCTTTACCCAGAGCTACAATTCCCAGCACCCTTGGCAAAATACTGTTTCCCGGGATTCTTTGGAGGAAGTCATGCGTTTTAAATGTGAGTTGGGTGCGGATCTGCATCCTATCCTCCTGAAATACTGAAGAAGTTAACTGGGGAGTGGAGCTCACTTAACCAAGCAAGTCTTGTCCACCACCAAAGACAGCTCCGGAATTCGAATTAGATACTAGATTTCTGAGCATATAACCTCCCTTCTCCGGTGTGATGTTGTTCGGGGGGGGAGGTGAGCAGGGCATCCTACCTAGAAGTAGTTCCAAACCCAGCTCTATAAGCAACTAGAAGACACAGGAGAAACATCCTTTAACCCTCTGCTGGCTCCCACATCCAACCCTCAAATTAGCTGCATCTACATCAACAGCCGTTTCTGAACAAAGATAGTATTATTAGCAGCAATTTGCCTGCCATACCTGCTCAGACAAGAGAGCCTGCAGCTTCTGAACTTCCAGCTGCAGCGCTTTGTTTTGATCCTTTAGAACCTGAAATGAAATCACCAGACGGCGCTGTCAGTTCGGAATTCTGTACCCAGACATTGTTCCTGCAATCTTCTTTGTGTTATTGGAAGAGAAACGGTGGTTCTGATGAACAGCAATTGGCAGAAATGTTAAGAGAGTCCTGATCCCTGTTTGGGTTGGCTATCTATCCGTTGAATTGAAAAGGGTGGATCGCCACCATGATTATAATGATAGCACTTCTGGGAAGGGTCTTTGCTTTAACCCACTTATGGCGATACCAGCTTGCTCCAGGCGATCCCAAGGGGCACAGATTTACTGGAATAGCCTATGTGAAGTGCTTTGAACACAGAGGAAAGTGCTTTGATGGAACAGAAGGAATAAGGGGAGGAAGTACAAATTTGATCTTGGGGGGTGGGATGGGAAGAGACACTGAACACATGAAGCTGCCTTATGACAAATCAGACCACTGGGTCTGTCTAGCTCAGTATTGCTTGCACTTCTGAACTCCTGGAGAGCTGCTTCCGAAGGGGAAGGAACAGGTCCTGGACCTGGAGATGCCAGGAATTGAAGCAAGGACCTTCTGAATGCCAAACAGATGATCCACCACTGAGCTCTGGGCCCTTCTTCCTGAATGCAGGAAATCACATTTCAACAGCATTGAGCTGGAAGGGAGGGATGTCAAAGGAAGAACTAGAATAAACTGGGGAACCAGGGAAGGGGGTAGATTAGGACCCCCCCCCCAAAAAACCACCCTAAAGGTCTAGCAACTGGAAGCAAATCTAGCATTTGGGAGAAAACCTTGCCTCTGTTAGCAGCACTGCTGTGACCAGCACCTCTGGCTATGATCATTCTCCAGCAGGGAACCCTGCAAACCTGATCTGGATCAGAGCATATTCTAGATCACATGTCCTGCAGCTACTTTCCCCCCAAATAAAAGAGTTCAGTTTAAGCACACTTTTAAAAATACTGAATATTGTAGCATGTGGTTTAGACCTCAAGTCCCCTGATTAAAAATAAAAATAAGGAAAAACAGTTGATGTGGAGTAAAAGAAGGGGGGGGGGAGATGATAAGTATGAGTGCATACTTTTGTTCATATTGAAATCCCCACTCGTTTCAGAAGCTCCTTAGCACTGGGGTCTGCATAGACACTGCAGTGCCCCTCTGCTCGCTTCATGCTGAGCCACAATTTTGTGATGAGACACCTCGCTTTTCTTTCCTGCATCACTGACAGCAATTTTTTTCAAGCCGCATCTCCATTTGTTTTTGGGACGCTGTGCTGCTACGCTACCATCCAGCACCTTTTCCTGTGCCCTTCCTAGTCCTGCTGCCAAGTTGTCAGCTGTCCTGTTGTGAGTAAGGCTGCTCTAGGCAATGCACACACACACACACACACACACACACACACACACTACCTGAAGTTCCTCTTTTGCACTTGAAGCTTTGGCATGGTGTCCCTGAAGCTGCTCCTCCAGTGCTCTGATTTTTTCATCTCTGGCCTGAGTACTGAAAAACAGGGCAAAAGGTTAAAAAGCAAAAAAGCCCCCCCCCCCCCGCTTACAAGGCCCAGCCCACTCCAAAGCAAGCACATAACAATCAAAGAACAATGGCTTATCAGATGGCACTCTTTGTTTATTTACCTTTTCTGCATCCTTTCCAGCTCATGCGCAGCAGCGGCCTAGATAGAAAGAGGATTAGCACTATTTAGTGTGTTGCATCCGAGCAAGAGTCAGCAAACACGGCTACATCCAACATTAAAAAGCCAGGATTGAGCCCATGAAATTTAGCTTCTTGCTGTGCCTCTCATTTTCTGCCACAAGCAAAAAAGAAAAAAGGGGTGGGGAGACACATGTTTTGCACATCTCCGAAAAAGGCACCGCCACATGCTCAGTAATCTGCTCATCAGACTGTGCTCTGCAGCGATGCTTTCAAATCTAGGAAAGAAAGCACTTTATATTAGGTAACAGGCTAGGAAGTGAAAATGCTCAGGGCACCGTTGCTCTGGATAATGATGTATATGCCTGCATTAAAGGAAATGCCACAGAGCTGGGGGCGGGGGGGGGGCGGGGAAGAAGATATCTGCCCACGAACGGGCAGAGAGTCATTCCAGTGTGGGGGCACCAACTCCATTACTCTGATATTATGAAAATGCCTTCAAGCCGCAATCTAGAAAAAGGAGGATTTCCCCCTTAAGCTGGAGGAGCTTCAAAGCAGGCTGAAGCCACGAACACAGTAAAACTTCTGCCTGCAATGAAACAATCCACAAACAGGTGCTTAATTCCCCATGGCGGCTCAACGCTTTGTACGGCACTTGCATTTGCTGCAGTTAACGCAGATTCTGTCTGCAAAGATGTGAAAGCATGAATGATAAGACACAAGCCCTTTAGCATCAGTAAGACATGTGCTTGGAACCCGACTGGGCTGCAGCTCTTTTATACTCTGTGCACCAGATGCAGCAAGCACAACTGTGATGGAAAGTATGTGTAACCTTGCGAGTTATTTTTGGCTGAGAAACAGTGAGAGGTGCGCCATCGCTCAGCGTGCTCCAGGGCAGAGAGATGATCTAGACCTGGGTCTCCTTAGTCTGCTACACGTGGCCTTAGCATGAACCATCCTCTGTTCAAGCCCACAAGGACAGAGAACAAGAGTCTCCCATTGTGCAACACTTTATTTCAGGGGTGGGGAAGGAGATGCCCTCCAAATGTCGCCAAACTACAACTCCCATCATTCCTGACTACTGGCCATTCTGGCTCAGACTGATGGGAACTGAAGTCTAGCAACATATGGAGGGCTAGATTTTCTCCACTCCTGCTTTTTGTTTTCTTGACTAAATAGTCAACTGTTTCTTTCACGTTTCCCTCGAAAGTCCTAGATCTCAAATTGTCTCATCTGTTTAGGCAGGGCAAGCACGATTTCTTATCACAACTTGTTAGCAGTAGCAGTGGATTAATTACAAAACAAAAAATTGTGCAGATGTTTGGAATTGAGGAAGAGAGGAGGGTCCAGGGCAAAGGTGGATCATCCTACGCAACAAAAATCACTAGATTTTTCCAGGCAGTCAAAAACCAGTAGCTCTTGTTTAAGAAGTTTAGGTAAGCAGAATGTAGGCCTAGGCTGGATAAAGAATTGTTGCATTTATATACTATGCTTAAATACACATTTGGGCTGAATGTGCAGCACAAAATCTGAGCTACGGCTCTAGAGCATGTGCAAAATGCCCCTATCACTAATGATCAACTCTAACCAGCCTCTAAGTTTCTGACTGCAGGGGAAAAGGGGCTTCCATGTGTGAGGTCAGCTGTGAGCCAAAACTTTTCTTCTCAAGATTTTGTGCAAAGAACAGCAGATAAGAGATGAAACTCACTCTCCCCTGAGGTGTGCTGCTAACTGAGCACACCTTAAGTACTTTTGAGTTTAGATCATTCCCAAGTGGCACTGAATGATCCCACCTTTTACATTTGGAGCCTTAACTTATGCTAAGCACAAATATTACTCAGCACAAATAATACTCAAGTGTTGTCAGTGGAATGGCACAACACAGTACTTGTCAAGATATGAATATGGGTTTGTTAACCTGCTCGTTGGTGAGCGCCTGCAACTTCTGCACTTCTGCTTTGAGGGACATGTTCATGTTCTGTACAACCTGGAGAGGGGAGAAAGAGGTTTCACATTACAGGGTGCGGCCAGAAAGTCCCAGCCATGAAGACCAATTCTACATTTTCAACTGCACCAATCTCAGTTTGGGCTTCTCATCTGCAGCAATCAAAACATACATTCCATGTACCTGCTAAGAAACAGCCTCATCTCATCTCCTTCCACAGGCAGGTTAAAATTCCACCTTCTCCCCTACTTTCCCAACATTGGGCAGATTTCTGTGGTTATGCTGCTACTTGTTTATTTCACACAGTTTAAAAACAGCAAACTCGATGCAACGTTTAGTGCATCCTTCAAATACTGTATGTATATATTTTTAAGAAAGACCACTTTAGTTATTGATTTCTTCTGTAGACAGATGACCAATATATCCTAACCACAAAATATATTCCCAGTTCTTAGATTTCAAAATCTAGAAAAGATGGAGGGCAAGCAAACCTGCTTGTATACCTAGTTCTCAATTTTTCAATGCTAGCTTGAAGACCACCTGCTGTCTTAACATTCAAAGCTTGCCCGAGCGAGCTAACAAGTGAGAAAATGAGACAGTAGAATGCTCTGTACTGCCTTCAGATCATAGCCCAAATATATCTGAATGCTCCCTTGCATGTCAAAAAACAAATAGGACACCCTCCGGAAAACTAGCCCAGAATGGAACAAGATGGGCTTGCTCCAATGTGCAACATTGTTTGTTCATTTACACATGCAGGGAGTTAATGATGATGATGATGATAGTAGTAGTAGTAATAATAATAATAAAAATAATAATAATACCCCACCCATCTGGCTGTGTTTCCCCAGCCACTCTGGGTGGTGTCCAACAAAATATTAAAAATACAATAACTTAACACCACGAGGAAGCATTCAAAAACAACATATCCCTCTGCAGGGGCACAGATCATCTCCCCAGGCTTCAACCACCTCATTCTGCTACTCCCCTTTGCAGGGGAGGGCAAAGAGGGATTTCTGGAGTTTGGAAGGGCTTGCTGAGTTCCCAAGAGATCTTTGCAGAGTTTGAGCTTGCAGGGTTGCTGCCGCCACAGATCTTAGTTCTCCCTGCATGCGTTTCCTTTGGTGCCTTTGCAATACCCATTCCACCTGTGCACTTGCAAACGAACAGATTATTCAGTACCACGTCCTTTAAAATGACACTGTAAAAGGGTTGCCCAGACCCTGGAAATTAAGCAATTTCCCACCCTGCCCCACTTCACACCCACAGGTATGATCTGACTTTTGAGGCTGAGGACTAGGAGGTACTACAACCTCAGAGGAAACAGATCACACTGTAACAGTTTAGGAGAGGTTTGCTCCAGCCATCTTAGATCTGCTGCAACTTGTTCCCTCTTCATCACTTCAGTTGCACTTGCTCGGGCAAATCTCTGCCCTTGGAAGCAAGGGAGTAGGAAATGTTGGGAGTCTTGGAACCAAAGCAGAACCAGCAGCAAGGGCAGGCAATTGCCTCTGGCCACTTCTTGCCTTGCTGAAAACTGCAAGACTGAGATGTGCAAGCACAGGACGGAAAGGAGAAAAGCCATACCCCACCACGACTCAGTCACAATGTCTGTGGTGTTTGGCAAAGGGAGAGAAAGGAGCAAGGTGGTCTCCTTTTTGCATGGAAGGCAAACAGCTTATTCAGATAAATATATAACATCTTTGCAGCCACTATTTTAATCTACCGTGCCAGGATTAAAATACACATGCTACATCAGGTTCAATAACAACTATTTTTTCGGGGGGGGGGGGTTATTGTGTTATTGTGGTTTTGTGTTTTTATACTGCAAACCATCCTGTGATCTTCGGACTAAGGGCAGTATAGAAATGAAATCATCGCCATCATCAAAGCCTCCACTTTTCACACGCAACACTTGAGCTTTTGCTATACCATGAGATCCTCCTCCTTGCTGGTTAGCTTGATGCGTTCGTTGGCTAACGAGTCCTCAGCCTGGTTTATCTGTTTATCCTTTT